GGTACTATAGTCAAGGAAGTAACCTGAATTTCCAAGGCGCGATTAGCGTACGTAGGACTGAAACACTGTTGGTGCAGACATGTTTCATTCAAATTGAAAAGTCGTGTATACTACGCCAACGTGCGGTCAGTTCTGCTTTATGGTTGCCAGACCCTTAATTTGCGCTTGGAAGATATCGTTTAGAAGTCTTTGTTTGCGGATTTTTACGTAGTTTGGCATGGGTTGAATGAAACGAGCGTGCAAGCAATCCTCAGGCAAGTAATTGTGTATTTGGTTATGATTCGGTCGAAAGTTCTTTATCACAGAACTCAGGTCAGTAGGCTTCGCTGGTTAGGGCACGTGCTGCGCGTATCCAGCTGTCGTCTACCGCACCGCACGTTATCCTCAAGTTGGAGGACAGCACGCGGTCACCAGATGATGCGAAATCGAGGCATGAATAAATGCACAGAGTGTTGGGTGTCTCCCAGGTGGGGTCCGAAAAACTGCGAATGGTTGGTTAGAGATACTGAAGGATATGGCTGCGTACCAACAGCAGTGGCGTTCTTGTCATTTCTTGTTAGATCAGAATGCTTGAAAAATGTATGAATGCACACCTAGATTGCGTACTCTATGTTGACCATAGAGGCTCACCCTTTTTTCCTCCGTACGATTAGGCCCAATCCCTCCATCTTGTGCTTTATCACTTACTTTGCGATCAGTGAAGTTCGATTCCCTTTATCTCGCTGTACGTTTATGATGATGATGATTGCTTTCCTCACCTCATAGAAGCCTCATCATTGGGGGTCACATGAGAAGAAACTACTGTCATTTGTTTTTATGGGATGTACAAGTTTGGTGTTGAAGTGGTGGATTCCGTGTTGAAAAAATACAGGTCGCAGTAGTCATCTCGATGATGGAGTAAAACGACCTGGGTAAACGAATTAGATCAACCCCAAACATGTGAACTTGTTACAGATAATCCTTGAGGGTGAATATAATGCAAACACAGTTTATTGTGATTTTTACGGCCTGAAAGACCCGCTGCAGTCCGCAATAAAAACCTTGAGTTTTACCACGTCATTCGCGGGTTATTTTTAATCTAATTATTCATCGAACAAAAGGATGAAGTGTGTGCTTGTTCTGTTCGATAACTGACAAAGCAGGACTATCAATTCCGAAAGAGGACAAGTATCACGAGATGTTAACATTTTGTTTAATCTCCTCAGCCCCTGATGGGTAATCAGTTGCAGTGAGCGAACTCTTACATGCCAACAAAACTGCCAAATGAAAGAAGTTAAACGTCAACTCCACGACAAGTGGATGGATTGTGTCAACAACTTTAGTGCGCATAAAATCAGGCAGTGTAGTATCTTTACCACTATATATTTAGAATAGTCAACGATTCACTGATCGCCAAAAGTTAAGTGATACGTTTACAGTATACTGGTTGTGGCAGTGGTCACCGGCTCGATTGGGCATTGAGGAGTACTGGGCACCTTGGACG